TATATTCTTTATAGTATTACTAGAGTATATTCTTTATAGTATTACTAGAGTATATTCATTATAGTTCGGGCTGGTGTCAGAGCCAGAGTTAGTGCCTGGCCCTTTGGCCCTGCACCGAGTTCCCTGACGCCGCCACAATTCTCTAAAATAATCGGACTCCCACATAGTATCAGTGCCAAGCCTGTAATGGCCGCCACCCCTGTCCCAGTAACACTGAGTGACAGAGGAGTGGACGAGCACAGGTTCTGACTGAACAACTACAGCTCTCACAGGTTTCTCATAGTTACAAAGATTGAATTTGGACTTGCCAAAGCATGAATGCGTTATGTTTTGTAATTACAATGTTAATAGAAACAAGTATTATTCATGTGTATAGTGGAGTTTTTAAAATACCAGGTTAGATGTAGTCTCGTTCAGGCTGTTGCAACAGACCCCTTTTCTTACGATACAGCAAGCACAGTGTGATGCTTTAATAATGTATATCCTCTCAGGATCAGAGGTTAAAGGAAAATGAACATCAGGAGACCTACAAAGTGGAACCTTTGTCTTTCTTCTTTCCCTCTTCAGTAGAATAGCTAAAATGTTGTCCTGACCTGCTCCTGTAATGGCACTGTGCTGTTCATTTTGATAATAAAGTGTCCCAGCTCCTGAGGTCTGAGAATGGCTGTCTGTTATTGTTACGACCAGCTCCAAATACCTATTTTGACTTTCACATATTCTGTCTTATGGCGTGGTCTTACTTTGAAATGCTGCTCCTTACCTCTGCTGTGCTCACATGAAGACTCCTCAGCAGAAAACGAGGAGCTGCTGGTTTGGTCTGGAGTCTGACTGGGTCTGCACATCTGTCTGTGTTGCTGTGCTTCTGTGCGTGTTGGCAGACAGGATGTCAGTCCATACTGTATGAACTGGGGGGAGGTAAACCTGTCACTCTACCTGTTGTGGTTTCAAAGCCCCCACATCCCCACCTACAGCCTCACTCATCCTGTCCCAGCAGCAGCTCTCAGGTTGGCTGTTTTTCATTCAAAGACCCTCTAGTCATATTTTCCTCTGCATCACACTCTTTTACCTGAAATTGTGCACTTCTAGAAAAGGGGGTTATGCCTCTCTAACTTTGATATTTAAGCACAAAACAGAAGCATGTCGTGTTTTTAGAGTCTGTTTTTAAATGTATAATGGATTAGGTATCATGTACAGCAGATGTTAGCCTATGTTCCAGACACAAAACAACACATTTTAATAATTTTTAAGCAAACTATCTATAATTAGGAAGAATAATAAGAAAATAGTATATTCCTCTGTAGGATATATATCAAGATTATTAAGTTATTACTGTTTATTTTCTGCTAATTAGAAATGTTTTCTTTTGGAACATAAAAGCCAGTCCAGGCTTAGGTAGTTACTCTGCACTGGTTGCCATCCTTTGTACTATATTCTCTGCAAGTTTTGACAAGTAAATTTAAAACTATTCTAGGTCTTTTTGTGCAGTTTAGGAAGGAGTAACACCAGTTAAGCTACTAAAATAATTGAAATAAGGTGGAACATGTCTGATTAGTTGAGCTGATTTTGTGCTCTGAAAAATGTTGGGGCCCTAAAGCCTTTAAACATTTGTCTGAATCTCTGAAAAATAATGAGAATTACATGATTAAAAACACATTTCATTCAAATGAAAATAAAAGAAGTCTCCACCAGTTTAAATTGGGCACATGGGCCAGTGAGTTAATGTATTGTCTCACCGTCACAAAGTAATTTGAGAAACCAGATGATATTGACAACCTGCAGAACCCTCACTTTCTTGGACAATGAAATATAAACTGCTGTTCAGCTTTGACAGCCATATGCTCAGTCCTTTTGCTATATTGTACAACACTGCCCCCTATTGGTTCACCCTCAGCTTATCATCGCAGCAGCATTTTATGATGTATCTTCAGAAGTTGTATTATTAAATGATGAATGCATTATTATCATTTTTAGAAATTGGTTCAGTGATCAGATTGGGACACTACCATTACCATTTATGAACATTTCCATGAAGATCTTAAGGAATACAGTGCATACCAATTATCTCCAGCTGTGCATAAGAAACATATCTCCTATTCTGTTCTCATTTCATCATTTATAAAAATGCACACAATAAAGTCTAAACCTTACTCTGAAATTTTTGTACGATGAAAAACTATTGACTATAGACGATAGACTTATCATGTGTATGTAAGCAGGAACAGGGCTCTGGCAGTGTGTAGTGTATATACACTGCATTCCTCTGGACCCCTGCATGATTTCTTCTCCATCTGCTGTCCATTGCCACTCTCTTCACTGGTCTCCTGCCATCTGTTTAACAATGCTTTGCACCTTTGTGTGACCAAATGCTTTTGCTCTCAGCAACGCCATCTACTTCACCAGAGAGACATAGAGAAGAAAACCACTGTGATATCGTGCTCCCTTAACCAATAAGCCCACCAGTTAATGCTGCTCAAGCCCAGCACCAAATCCCATTTGTCAGCAAATAGCTTCCTTTCAGTTGTCTGTGTTGGCCAGGCCC